TTCTTTAGGAAGAGCTTGCACTATGATTTTAATAACTCAAAGCAATTCTGGAAGAAAATACTTGATTTACATGGAAAAACTGCTATTAAAGCAACTAATTAGAGGGTTAATGATAGGGTCACTAACAACCCAGCTGCAATCGCTGAAGGCCAGTACTTTGCTAGATCTCTTCAGCTTGACTCAGTTCCTTTGGGTTCATGAACAATGCCTCAACAATGCGCATGTGTAAATGTATTATAATTACTTTTATTTTGTTCCTGCCTGGCCTTTGTCGATACATTAACCTTTCAATTAACACATGTACAGTCCCTAGGCAGGGAGGGTCTGGAAATGTACAAAGATTTTTCCTCTTCATAAGGGAAGTGATACATGTGAGCTCAATAATTACAGGCCTATTGCAATAATTAACTAAATTGTAAAATATTTAGAAAAATTGGTTTTAAATAAAATATCTGATTATCTTGATACTAACAACTTACAATGCCAGTCAGGATTTAGAAAGCACTTCTCTACAAATACTGCTTTGTTGAAACTTACCAATGACATTTCCTCTGGCTTTGACAATAGCCTTATTACTGGTCCCACTTTTTAAAGATTAAACCAAAGCCTTTGGTTTGGTTGATCATTATTTGCTGTTAAAGAAACTATATTCCTTTGCCCTTTCAAGGTCATCATGTTTAATGAATTTTTTCCATCATTGTTTGCAATACGTTTCCTTCAATGGATGCCGGTGTTGTCTATTTATTACCGTTTCTGTTTTCTCGGAGGACCAAATCAAAAGCTAGATGATTTATCTCAAGTGGTGTTATCCTCCTAAAATAAAAGTTAATTTAAAAAAGAAAAAATATATACATATTTATAGGAAAAATCTCAGGAGGAAGTCGACAAAACTTTTTTCTGTGCTAAATTTTTCATTTTCTCAGTAAAATGTCTTTGTTAAGGAGCTGCAGCACCAGTCCGCCTGCTGCAGTAAATCACCTGAGTTGTTTTTTAAAAAGCTTCTCAGACTTGGTAGACTAAGATAATGCCAAAAAATGACAGCTTTGCTGCATTTTGCTTAAAGGAGTTTTGAATTTTTATGCTCGTGATTGCCCCCTCAGGCCAAAAGCGTAACGGCAGCTTCAATAGGAGGCTCGTGCACGAGGCGCGCATGCTGAACGTGCACACTCCTTAACGAAAATAACAGCTGAGACAGTCCCTTGTGTGTGTGTGTGTGTGTGTGTGTGTGTGTGTGTGTGTGTACGTGTGTGTGTGTGGCCCGGAGGACAGAGGACAGGAGAACGCGCAGCTAATTAATTAAATAATTTGGTTCTGTACCGGTCTCTTCAGCACAGCCGACAAAGGTTTAAGATGGGTCAGTCTTCCTGCATGTTTAGATCATTCCCTTCCCTTGTTGGAAAAACTGTGCCAAAATGAAAGTTGAACCCACAATTTTTACCTGTGAATTCAATGCCGTTAGGCGAGTCTCAAATAAAAATCTGGGCATCTTACTGTAAAAAAATATACCATTAATGTAAAAAAGAAACTCTAAATAAACTATGTTCACATCTAGAATCAAACCCGGGTCTTCTGCACGATAGCCCAAAGTCTTACTAGACGAGCTAAACCACCAGTGACGTCTTTTGTATCTGTAACATTTATATCTTTGATGACAGCTGAAACAACGTTCAAAGAACGGTTCGGAGGGCTATGCCTGAGCGTGAACGCGCACGAAGCAGCCTGCTCGACCCGAGCAGCTCTCTTTTTCTGTGATTTTACAGAAAAACAGGCAATCACAGTAAAAATGCCAGGGCTCATTCTACAGAACCAGGGCATTGCAGGAGAATGTATGAAGAAATTTATTATTTCTATACATGTTTTGGCTGTCAAACTTCCATAACGTCCCTTTAAGTAAAAGGAGCTAAATTTTGCCGATAAAAATGAAATTACCAGCTATTTGGCATCAGTCTGCGAGCAGAAGCATGTGCTGTTTAAATCCCGGATCACACTGCGCGATTTGCAGGCGTCTTAGCCAGATCTCTCATCGGGAGCATAATCGTGTAAATAAACTGTGAACTTGAGGGTTATTTACAAATTTGTGGTCATCAAGTCTGATGCTCTGTGACAGCTTATTGAGCTGACTCACAACAAAAGAAAGCCTCTACAAGCTACAAGCAATCTTGAAAACCTACGACTACTGTCTGCAATCGACCAATGAAAACACACCTTTGGGACGCCGCAGCAGCAAGATTCTACCCCTTCCGAGCGTCGATTTCAATTTATGTTTAAAATGCAGATTATAAACTACACACCAGTTTTTATTTTTGTTAATATCCCAAGTTAAACCAGAGTTATACGAAAAATAACTAAACTACATTTTTAGACCATCAGGTGAATTGTGAAAACCTTGATTCTGTGATCTGTGAGAGCTGAGAGGAGATGAGCTCACGAACATAAAAAACAAAACACAAAAACATGAGATCCCTTTTCTGTCGGTAGAAATGTCACTTATTCAACCAATGAGGATGATTCAGTAGCGCTTTGCTGCAGGGGAACAGAGGAAGCTGCGGTCCGTGACAACGAGTGTGATGTCACGGAGCTGCAGAGTAACCCCCAAATTCCACTACCTCCGCTCCGCTCCGGCCCGCCCCCGCCCTCCGCAGCCGCTCGCTTCCGAACTCAATTTTTACTGGTACCCGCTCTACAACGGCTCCGCTCCGGTGCGGAGACCTGAGGTGGGCAAATAAGCATGCGCAGGATTTTCGAGATCTTGCGATACAGTCCGAGCAGTAAACGCGGAAGTTAGATCCAAACACCCGTTGTGTGGGAGAAGCATCGAAATGAACTGTTTAATCTGCCCATCATTTGTGTTGAGAGATCAGCAGTGTTTGGATCAACAAAGTGTGACTACTTTGATAGTGGGAACTGTATTTATGGCTTACTTTTGTGCATTTAAAGTTCAGCCACCATTGATAGTTGTTAAAAGTTGTTAAACCTGTGCATATGAAACAAAAAACGCCTTTTGTTTATCGATTTATTGTGAAAAACGGAAGTTGTGCTTGCTCCTTTTCCTGTTGGACGGTTGTGATTCCTGTCCATTTACTGCGGAGGTGCTCCGGCGTCCGGCAAAAATAGGATCGATTCTATTTTTGCCGGACGCCGGAACGGAGGGCGGCGCACGGCGCCGCACTGCCGGAGCACGGCCGCAGTAGTGGAATTGCTCTGATTGACTACAACGGGACCGATTTTGCTCCGGCGTTTGTGTCGGAGCGGAGCGCAGCGGAATTTGGGGGTAAACATCCGTCAGTCGAGACGGACACCGCAAGCTTGCGATTGGTCAGGACGCCGCTGTCGTCTACACCGCCGCCACTGCGCCCTCAAAAACATAAAGAGAGCTGAGGATAACAAGTGGCAGACACGGAGCAGCTTGAAGAATACCTCGCGAAAAAACTCTAAAAACATGAATGTTTAACTTCCCGTGACTGGAGGAGTGAAAAGATGCGCAGCAAGCGTTTTATTTGTGGACGGAAATGACAGGAAACGTGGGTTTAGAGGTGGTGAGCGCATGAAGAGGTGGAGGAGGATGAGAGACAAATTTATCTGTGTTAAAAAGTCTCTTATATACAAAAAACACAATATAAACACACTATCTTGGACCGAATACATGACAGGATACCACAGAACAGCACTACGCCCTCTGCTGTCCTACCGGGGAATTGCTTTGCAAAACTCCCCAGGAGACGGAGAAGTATGAGAGCAAAACGCTTCCGTCAATCCGTGCGTGTCTGTCTCTTGCGGAGCTGACAGAGAAGCATGAATCAGGCTTTACTTATCTGTAGTTTAGTGGGATGTATAAAGAAGAAGGATGAATGACCAGCAGACAGCTCGGCTGTTTAGTTAAAAGACGAGAAAAAGAGACCAGCAGCCGGAGCCTGATGCCAAAGCGAAGGTTTTAAAAATGATCCTTCCTCTTTGGGGAAGATGAGCTGGGTGAGAGGAAAAAGCAGTGTTAACGCCGGCGTTTTACCTTATCTTCAGCTAAATTCTGCTTAGTGACATATGCTTTTGGGAGGTGCGCTCATGATGCAGCGTGTGCTGTTGGAGAGACATCGTACAGTCTGCCTCACCTCGTCTGTGCCACCCTTCTAGAGATCTCACAGAGTGACATGAATAATCCTGTGCGACGGTCAAAAACCGCACAGTGTGATTTGGGTTTCCGACTACCTGTATGTCATTTCAGCATTTAATCAACAATCACACCTTTTTGAAGACTAATAAATAACAATATATTTGATCCTAGTCCAGATATTATTCTCACTGGCCACCATTAAAACTAAGGTAAATTATTTTTTATAGATTTACAACTGCAGAAGCAGGAATTGAGTTTGAGACACCTCAAATCCTTAAAATTTTAATAGGTGGCCATTTGAACATTTATTAGGCAGATTGAATGTTTTCTCCAGATATCTACTATAAATACATTTAACATTTCAGATTAGCAACTGATTAAAGTTTACTTCTTAGAATAATTAAAAGCAAGTAAGAGCAATTTAGCTTTTTTATTTTTCATTTAATTTACAGTATTTGTTATTTCAGTTGCACAGTGTGACTATAGTGAATTAGTTTATAAAAAAACATTCAGTTTTAATTTTTCATGAATAAAACCATTTTGTTTTACTGCTGGTGGTGGTTGGAGGAACTGTTGATGCCTTTATTAGGCAGCCTCGTCTCTGTCGGTGCGCTTAAGGGCAGCTGTGGCTATAATGCAACTCATCACCATCAGTGTGTGAATGGATGAATGATACATTGTAGTGTAACGTGAGTCCTCTGATTCTGAAAGACGCTATACAAGTGTGGGTCAGTTTATCGTTTAAATCTTGTAACAGGAATTCAAATTTGTTTTAATAAGTTGCAGTGTAGCTCCAGTCTGTCAGCATATTGACTAAAACTGAATCACATTTTTAAGTTGTGGTAAGTGCCATTCCTCCTCCATAGCTCATCCTGCATGTGACATAACCTACCCATGTGGTTCCGATACAGTTCTCGTGGGTCAGATGACTCTTTGCTGGCATTTGGATTTCTGCTGCATTTGATCTTCAGTTGAAGTTGAATTGTGTCTATTTCAGAACCATCATCTTCTGCAGACTCTTGCCCTGGAATTTACAGAATAGTGTTACAGTCAGGTTGGCTCAACAAAACCCGAAACATTCCATGCAAAAAAAACAGCTCCTAAAATACAGTGGGTAGATAAGTGTTCAGACCCCAATCAATGTTGTACTGCAGCAATTTGCTAAAGGCAATTAAAATAATTTTTTCCTCTTTAATGTACACTCAGCACCCCGTATTGACAGAAAAACACAGAATTTCAGAAATGTTTGCAGTTTTAAAAAAAGACAAACTGAAAAATCACATGGTCTTAAGTATTCAGACCATTTGTAATGACAATCATATATTTAAAATCAAGTGCTTTCCTTTTCTTCTGATCATCCTTGAGATGGTCCTACACCTTCATTGGAGTCCAGCTGTTTGTGATTATACCGATTGGGCTTGACTAGGAAAGCCACACACCTGTCTATAGAAGACCTTACAGCTTACAATGCATGTCAGAGCAAATGAGAATCATAAGGTCAAAGGAACTGCCTGAAGAGCTCAGAGACACAATTGTGGCAAGGAACAGAGGTGGCCAAGTTTACAAAGAAAATCTCTGCTGCACTTAAGGTTCCTGAGAGAACAGTGGCCTCCATAATGAATGACATTTGGGATGACCAGAAGCCTTCCTAGAGAAGGCTGTCTGGCCAAACTGAGCTACCAGGAGAGAAAATCACTGTCTCTGAGCTCCAGAGATGCAGTCAGGAGATGAGAGAAAGTTGTTGACAGTCAACAATCACTGCAGCCCTACACCAGTGAGGGCTTTATGGCAGAGTGGCCCCTTGGAAACTTCTCAGTACCAGACACATGAAAGCCTGCATGAAGTTTGCTAATAGACACATGGAAAAACCCTGAGATGGTGAGAAATTAGATTCTCTTGTCTGATGAGATAAAGATAGAACTTTTTTGCCTTAATTCTAAGCAATATGTGTGGAGAAAACCAGGCACTGCTTATCACGTGTCCAAAACTGTCTCCACAGTGAAGCATGGCGGTAGTAGCATCTCTTGAAAGGAGGGGCACCTGGCTGCAGCAAAATGGCGACTTGAGCTCACCTCTAGTCGCCATTGCCATACCGGAAGTGCTTTTTTGACCCCGAAAGTCATGTGACCTAAAGCTACGTACATGGGGTAAGTTCTCTTTGTTACAACGAGCAGGTCACGAGATGAGTCAGTGCCAGTCGCGACAGCTAAATTGAAGGTAAGTTATGGGTGGTTTTATTTTCTAATTTCTTTAATTTATTTATTCCCCCCTTGTCCTGTCTGGCTGTGGAGCAAACAGATTTAATGTCTGAATGCTGGTGACAAGCCTTACAGATTTACTCTTAGATGGAGCATAAAAGTTGCTGCTTTCATGCTACACTTGATACTTAAAACTTTATTATTGTTTTTTGGATGCTTTATAATTCCAACCAGACACGGAGATAGAGGTGAAAGAGAAAGGAAGAGACAAAAAGAAGGGGGAAGGGGTTCCACAAAATAAACATTCAACAATAAAGAATCTGCTTCTAGACCTGCAGAATGAGAAAAGCAAAAAAATAAATAAATAAAACAAAAATAAAAAAAAATAAAAGGGGGACACACACAACAATACAGCAAGAGCAAGCAACCACTGCGTCAACCTAATGAGGAAACATAAAATCAACATTGTTTTACTGAACAATCACTTGATAATAAATCACAGTGCATTTAGTGCTAACCACAGCCTTAAGACATGTGTTGCAAATGCCCAAGTCCATACTTATGAGAGCACCTGTGTGTGTACACACGCTTGTATATGTAAGGTTTCTCTATATGAGCGTCCAATAGAGAGTGTGAGGGGCCATAGATCTGCCCCCAAAGATGTGTAGGAGATGGAGGGAGCTCCAAGCCCCAGAGATCCAGGAGCTGCCCCAGAGTGCCCCCAGGCACCCCAGGGAGACTGTAACCAGAATAGCCCCAGCCCCCTATCAAGAAGCGCAGAGGTTCGCCCCGGGGGGTCACAACCAGCAGCTGGCAGAGTCCCGCGGGAGATATCAGCGGCAAGCCCAAAGGCCCGCCCGCAGCCTCCCACCCCCAAGCTGGAACCCTGCGACCCAGGAAGATGTGTAGCAGCACAAGAAGTCCCAGGAAAGGGGAAGAGTCCAAGACCTTACCTGACATATACTGTCATACACAGACATAGTCACACACTTCCTCCCTCATGCTCACACATACAACCTAAGACTTACAAAAATGCACGCTGGACACCCACTCATGCTCCCCATACCCACCCTATTCACTCTGGTCCCGGTACTGCTGCACAAAGGGTGCAACCATCAACGGTTCTGAGAGTTAGTCTCTTTCTGCTGGGGTGATGATGAGAAGGCTCCCCCGCTCAACGCAGCGCAAAGCAACCCACCACCCCAGACCCCAACCAGATGGCCAGCTCCCCCTCCTAGCCTCCAGCCCCCTGTGTCTAAGTGCAATTTAAAATTGGAAGTGGGCACCGGCACTCGGAATGAGGCTAAAAGATCCCCTTGCTAAATGCTGTTGAGTGTGCTCACTCCCAAGGCCCTGAGTGTGTTGTCGCGTGGAATGTCGTTGGTGGAAGTGTTTAATGTGTAAATAAAATTGGGGGGGGTCAGGCTGCCTCGTGAATGCGGAAATGGGATCCATACCTGCATCCCCTGACTTGCCCAGCCCCCAAGGTCCTATGTGAATGTTTGTGTGATGATGTAAGGGAGCAGGAGGAGAAAAATGGATGGGGATGGGGAGGAATGGCTGGTTAGTCTTAAGGTTGGTTTATGCTTGACGCATCCGCAAGGTCCGCACGGCTCCGCGTAGCAAAATTGCGTCATTTTAACAACCACGCCCCTCCACCGCGCCTTCGCACGGCCCAAAATTTCTGCACCGCGTACCTAGGAAATGTTCTAACCACGCGGACAGTCGGACGCGGAAAAACATGGCAGACTGGCAAGAACTAGCATGGCAGAGGTTCGTAAATACAGACATTTGTATGATTCAGCTCTCAGAGATCACCGTGATCAGCATGTTGTTAATAATTCTTGGAGAGAAATAGCTCGCACTGTCAGAAAAGACAAAGACGCTGTTAAAAAATGTTGGAATGGCATGTTGTAAACAACAGTAATTTTTACTTCTACTATGGTTTAGTGTTGGATGCATGCCGTAGAGCTCCATGCTGCCCCGTTCAGTTTGGGAGAATATTGGCTCACCTCAGAGACAAGCTGCATGAACCATAAACGCTGCAAGTTGTGAAGCGCGTTCCATCCGCGGGCCACATCACTAAGCGGAAAGTGAATGCGTCAAGCATAAACCAAGCTTGAGCCCTCCAGGGAACCAGCTCCCCCACTGGCCCCAATACGCACCTCTGTTCCCAAAATGCCACCCGGGGCATGGAGACCACAGCCCATCTCGCCAGGGCCCAAAGCAGCAGGATTGCAGAGCCCCACGGAGTCCGAGGGCATCAACCCAGTCCCACCCCAGCAGAATATCTACTACCATTCCTGCATTTGTACGACTTCCAGAATATGTAAGACATAAGACATCCACGTAAAGTTGGGTCCTCCTCCTCCTGGACATCCCCGTCCCCCGTAATGGGACAGAATTGTTATTATTTCAGAGGAGCCAAGGTCCACCTGAGGCCCCTGAGCCTGGGCCAGATACAGCCACGTGTTCCTGCCTTCTTCCCGGCAGCATAAAAGTCAGGACCCAATCCCCAAGGCCCCATCCAGATCTCCACACAGCACCGGCTACCCCACGCACCTCCATCATAAAAAGGCCCAGCAGAGGATGTACTTCCTAAGGCAGCTGAAGAAATTCAACCTGCTAGCACAGTCGATGAGGCAGTTCTACACAGCAGTCATCGAGTCCATCCTCACCTCTTCAATCACCGTGAGGTACGCTGGAGCTACCACCAGGGACATGAAGAGGCTGCAGCATGTTGTGCGCTCTGCCGAGGTCATTGGCTGGTTGCAGGTCATAGCTGACCCGTCTCACCCTGGACACAGGCTTTTTGACTCACTCCCATCTGGCAGGAGGCTACGGTCCATTTGGACCAGAACTTCTCACCACAAGAAGTTTTTTTCCCTTTGCTGTTGGACTCGTGAATGACAAGCTTAGGACCACCCACCCCACTCGCTTTGTTCCAGTCACCTGACCGTGTGTTGTTTTTGCACCTGAACTGTCCTGTTCTGATCTGTACCTATGCTATCTTGTATATATTAGCTGTTCTTATTATACCCTGTTATTGTTTGTATTTTTTACATGAAGTACTAGCCTAGTGAACTAGACCAAATTCTTGCTTTGCAAAGAATGGTCTAGGCATGCTCCATTGGAACCTCAGCAGCTCCTACCAGGACTCTGGCTAGCCAATCACAGCTCTCTAGAGGGGTTTCAAACACAAAAAGAGCTGTGATTGGTCCATAATGGTGGGCCAATCATAGTGCTCTATCTGCTTAGTGAACAAATCACAGAGCTTTATCCGCACTCTATATGCCTGGTGGGTGGGATGATGCAACAGAGTGAAACAAGAGTATGTCACATTCTTTGTCCAGTGGAATGCGGAGATCATTTGAAAGACAACGGTAGAACCCGCCCCACAACCGAGAACCGTCAGTGGAGCATGGCCAGACTAAATAATACATTTATTTAGTCTGGCTTGCCAGGCTAATGAAGTACCGCAGCAATGTTCTAATGTTGTGAACCTGCTAACACATATGGTAATCAATCCTGCTGATTCAGACATATTCAGCCTTTACTCTCTGCTTCCAAAGGTCACAGGATGAGTTGATGGGAGGAAACACGTTCCAACAGACCTTTCCCGTGGCAGAATTCATCCTCATTTTTCAACATAAAACAGCTCTTAATACCGAATTTAAGGGACCAGTAGGTAAATTCATCAGTCATCACTCACATGTACATGTCTGTGCACACACACACAGCTTATAAAAATTTGTTTTGAGGTTGTTGTTTTTTTAAAACCAATTTCATCAGATCTGTGAGCCACTGGGGCGACTAAAGAAGTGGC